GCCCGCGGCCCTGCCGAGCCCCAACGCCGGGATGAAACCCCCACGCCCTTTGCAGCAGCGTTTGTTGGCGTTTGGTTGCTATTGTTCCTCAGCCCTTCCCGGTAAGTTGATGGAAACCAAGGCCTGAAGCGCTGACGAGATGTCCATGTTGTGCCGTGGGAAGCAGGGGACATCCAAGCCCTTACCAGCATTTCCAGGGGCACCATATCCCCTTGATCTTGTTCTGCGGGACTCGTTCCTCAAGCTGCAGCACTGTCCATCCCCGAGGCCATTTTTTAGGGCATCATCTTTTCAATTCTGGCCTCACGAGGAAGTGACCCGGTGATACAGTCAGTCTGCACTACAAATGTAACGTCCGCGTTTTAAACCCTTAAAAGTACTTAAAATTGATTCCCAGGAGCAACTGTGCCAACGGTAGGAGACACACAGGCTTCCTTCCCTCTTTGTCACTTCTTGCCCTCTCAGCCACACCAAGCACAACCCAGCACCCCTCCCAGGGACCCTGCCCAGAACTGAGTCCTGCTTCCCTTCCCCAGAGCATTCTGCCTGGTGGAAACGTGCAGCACCCACAGATAAACCTTGTTTTGACCACATTTCAGCACGATTCTCTTCAGCAGTTTGCCCTGGACAGATGGGATTACCATGCATGCAGCTGCACATCAGTGCCTTCAGGGCAGACAAATTCAAAGGGCTGCTGTCAAAAGAATTTTCTTACACATACTGCAGCCAAATTAAGTCTTCCACATCAAGAACTAAAAATAATCTTCAAATAAAATCACTGCTCTAGGTAACAGAGAGGGGGAAAAAATAATCCTTCAATTAAAACAGCTCTTTCTTGGAAGTAGCCTAATAGTCATGTTTCCTAGGTCTGCAGTCCCTGTTGTGTCACCTTACTCTTCACATCCTCAGGCTGTTGCTTCAGAAACAAGACAATCACCTTAGAAAGTTCCCACGTACAAGATGCCTTCTTCTTCCCTCTACTACTGCAAGTGTGCCGGAGCCAGTCGTTGTGAAGCCTATGAACCAAACAGCTGATTAATCCATATGCTTTTTTATTACTTCTGAGAAAAAGTGATGGGGGAGGGAGGCTCAGCCCCACACGCAAGGGTACCAGCACAGCCAGGACAGCAGCATGACAAAGCCACAGAGAGAGATTCCAACACATACATCCACATCTAAAACTAAAAATAATCTTCAAATAAAATCACTGCTCTAGGTAACGGGGGGGAAATAATCCTTCAATTAAAACAGCTCTTTCTTGGAAGTAGCCTAATAGTCATGTTTCCTAGGTCTGCAGTCCCTGTTGTGTCACCTTACTCTTCACATCCTCAGGCTGTTGCTTCAGAAGCAAGACAATCACCTTAGAAAGTTCCCACGTACAAGATGCCTTCTTCTTCCCTCTACTACTGCAAGTGTGCCGGAGCCAGTCGTTGTGAAGCCTATGAACCAAACAGCTGATTAATCCATATGCTTTTTTATTACTTCTGAGAAAAAGTGATGGGGGAGGGAGGCTCAGCCCCACACGCAAGGGTACCAGCACAGCCAGGACAGCAGCATGACAAAGCCACAGAGAGAGATTCCAACACATACATTGCTGGCACGGGCCTCAGACCATGAAATCATGCTCTGTATCATCTTCCAGCTCCAGGGTTATGATTTTTCCTTAAAGACAACTTCAAGTAAGAACTGAGAGCCATGTACTACCATTCAGTATTTTGGGCTGAAAAATCTTTCAAGTAAAGAATGGAGTAAGACATGCTCTGTTTTTGAAGGGCAGAGAAAATCCCCTCAGTCCTTTCTGGGCAATTCCCATATACAGTGCTTGATGAGTGTGTGTTTATCCCACGTGGCAGGTAGCCAGCGCAGTGTTAATTGATATTCGATAGTCCTCCAGGTTCTCAGATACCACAACAAAGTACAGCTCCAAGACTCTCTGGATAGTGAGCTACTATGAAAGTTCTCCCCTCAAAGAGGAGCAACTCACTTAGCGATGCTTGTCAGAGAACCCACACCAGCAGCCACCACTTCTGGTCAGACCACACCGCTCCTGGCCCACAGTGCGGTGGCAGCAAGAACAGCAAACCAGATCAGAACCCCTTCTGTCAGCTCTGAAAGTCTGAGGAGCAGAAAGGAGAGCAAGACAGAGCCCAGACTCCTTTAGACTACTGTAGAGATACTGCTCTGTAATTCAAATGAAATCTGAATTGGATTTGTGGTTCAATGAAAAGTGGTAGCTTCAACAAAAAAAACACAAACCCACAAGGAAAACCATTTATTTCATCTCTATTGTCTCCATGCAGAGCAGACCAATACAGATGAAGGGGGAAAATGCATAAGAGCAGCTGAAAATATAGAGCAAGAATATACAATTCTCTCTCCATTTCCAAAAGTGACAAATGTGGTGGAGTGATGCTCCATTTCCTCTCCCATCTTCAGCCCTTAGGGCTGATGTAGTGGAAAACTATCAAGCCCCTCCCTCTCACTAGCCCTATGCTACCTTCCCAAGAACCACAGACAGTCCAGGTCTGTGGTAGCAGCTAAAAAAATACTCAGAAATTCCTTCTTCACTATCATCCATTTCACATTCCTGAACAGTGAGCACAAAATCCCGACTGTGGTTTTCAGTCTTGGCAAGGCTCAAAGCTGATGCAACAACGGCAGCTCATGGGCATTCACCTGGCAGTGCCTCAACTTAAATGCCAGCATCATTTCGAGAAAGACATTTTGGGAAACAGCAGGCACATCTTTTCTGTGCAAACCCACTTCCTCCACACCCCTACCACAGGGTCTGCTTAGTTTCAGGGAGGAAAAAAAGCCCCACAGCTAGAACCAGAGGGTTTGCATACTCCCCCAGTCCCTGCAGTCTAATCAGATTACTCTTCTCTCCAGGAAAGCAGGAAGCTGATGCTACCTTCAGACTTCATGACAATTGAATGATGGAGTAGTTGGCAAAGGAAGGCAACTTGGGTAAGGAGGAATTAAAAATTGCACTAAGCCTCCCTCACTGCTGCCATGAAACTAGTTACTAATGTAAGCCTAGGGTAAGGAAAGCTGCAGAAAAAATTAAGACAGCCATTCCTGGGCAGAGAGAACCACAAGCATGAGCTCTCCAGCAGTCTCTGAAAAGTAGGACAGGAGCTGTCATAAAAAAAGAACTGTGTCAACAGTTCAAGAATCTCTTAGGGAAGCAAATGCTTCTGCTGTGGGCAGCATACCTGCCTCGTTGCTCTGACCCAAATCGCTCTCTCAAGGGACAAGCCCTCTTGGTAAGGCCCTGTGCAGACTGGAGAGCTGTACTGATTTACAGAAGCAGTTTAAAGACAGAGCTGAGTTAGTGCAATTCACTTTGTGGCACCTGTTTTGTGTCCAATGACTCACTAGTTCAATTGAATCTGTTTTTGAACAGATGTAAGTGAAGCGAGGATAAGTTCTGCAGGAGGGATCAGCTAGTAACTCTGCACACCTCTGTGCACCCTCTGGAACGACAGCCTGGACAGCCCCCTGAGCTGGGATGTGGGCAAAGCACTAGAAATGCAATTTATTTTTATTGGCTTCAAATGACCAAAATTTTTATCCCAAGCATCACACAACAGTAAACTTACCTTAAAGCTTACCTATTGTCACTCTTTCATATCCCTTTCTCTCCTTACTTAGCACACAGTTTTTCTAGACCTATCACCCTTCCCGTTTCACCCTCCCTCCAGTACTCTTTGCTGCTGTGCCCCTTCCTTTAAGGGCTGTCAGTATTCCTTCTTATCTGTTAATCCCCAATAGACTAACTCCACTGTGAGGTAAGAAGCCCAGAAATAGGGTACCATCTATATTTTTGGTTATAGCATGCTCTGAAATAGTCCACACTGAACAGAGGAAAAGCTAACCAGGGGTTATTGGTTGCTGATCAGGCTGTGGTGTTCAACTATTGCCCAAACTGCTCAGACCTCTGCCATGACAGTCCAGGGCTGCTGTAGTGTGCCAGGCAGGGCCAACATGCTGCACCTTTGGAGAGCTCTGAAATGAGGTGTGGGGCAGATGGTGGCCAAGCCGGGTCTCAAAAGCAGGCTCAGAGCCACGTTCAGCTAATGGTTACGAGGGGAGGAAGCTCAGTCACAACAGCTACATGGCTTTCCTTCCAGATGTAGGTGTGTTGGTGGTATGGAAATAGAAGAAACATTTACTGACCATTTTTCAGATAAACAGTTAGGCTGTGCTGGCTATTAAGAGTGATTAGGGCTGAGGCAAATAATCTCCAAGATGAGCCATTTAATTGTGGTGACCTATTCTAAAGTGCCTCAAGCTTTTGGCTTGATTTCAACATAAAGATACAAAATAAACCAAAGAAGTGGACTGGTGAGGCTAATGCTACCTTTAGGAACAAGTGACATCAATTAAAAGCTGGAGATCAAGTCAGAAAGGGCCCTTTCCCCTCTATCTCATAGCACCGTAACTTCTCACGGGTAGGGAGCTCTGGCTAAAGCTATTAGTTTATTCTTGCTTTGCCACCCCTGTTCTGCCTCCAGCCCTTAAGAGCGGTAGAAAAAGTCCTTCCTCTTCATCAGCTACAGGAATCACCTCTGTTGTTTTCACACGAGAGCTTGGGAGGTGCAGTTCCATCAAAATGAACTGAACGAAACAGTGTCCTTTTGCTGTGGAGCAGTTGTTCAGTTCATCTCTGCTCACTGTATCTTTTGCTCCAGTAAAAATAGACAAAAAAACCCAAAACAAAACGGAAGCCCTGATGTGTGGATTTTAGCAGAACAGGGACAGGAGAGCCAGGGAACGAAGTCCTGCACACCCAGACCTCTTTCTCACCTGCTTCTCACACTAGCAGCCAGATCTGCACACACACACACATAGGAAGTAACATTAGTGTTCCTTATTGCTTTGTAACAGCTCAGCATCACTGTGGTGGCTCTGGGAGACATCGTGAGGTCTGTGCAGAGGTCACTCCGTTGTGAGCGAGAGTAGCACCATGACTGTAATGCCTGTACACAGGAGCAGAATTTGCTGCAGGGAGTTCCTGGGAACAAAAAAGCAAAATTAGGAGGAGCCACAGACCAATCCCAGTAGGATTGCAGCGCAAAGGCTCATGAATGTTTTTTTCTTTGCTCTTCCAAATCTACCGCAAGGAGAACACAACAGCTCTATGAAGCCACTAACACAGGCGAGAAGACTCTTTCC